CTTTTCACTATAAAGAAAATGCTTGAGTACAATGTTGAATTAAAGAAAAAATATTCGAATTTTCTGACGAAAAGGGGTGCTACTGACCCCCAGAACCGCCCCTGTACTGGGCCAACCTTCCAGTTGCGTTGTTGTTAGTTTTCAACTCAATTTTTTTAGTAAATGTATATAGTGATGTCCCCATTAACCCGGAACAATTGGTGCAGAGCACTTCCGGGGATGACAGATTTCTGGCTAACCAGACGACTTTCTCAAACCCATAAAAATTTCAATCTCCAGAATCTTTTCTGGTTCTTTTCTGGTTACTGGGAAAAGTTTCTGGGTGGTCTAAACTAGACATCGTGCACACACCGACACTAGCCCACTTCCCCAGAACGAATCTGGGTGCTGCGGATGTTTTCCTTGAATTTTAACTACCTGAATCCGTAAATGCAGCTCTAATTTCGTTAGAAACTCCATTTCTTTACTATAATAACCAAGAATAGTTATTTAGAGGTTTGGTTAAATAAATATTTTTAAAAATTAAAAATCTATAGCATATGGGCATGAATGAAGCTGTGTGTTACAGCAAAGACTGGTATTTTCCACTCCCATGGAGCTGTGGGGGATTAGTGGGTCTTGTGTAACTGACCTGACCTGATGCAGTGTCAGGTGGAGGTAGGGTGGGGAATTATTGTTCTCTTACTACTGACCTCATGCAATGTCAGGTCGCCCTTTCAAAAGAACATAAGAACATAAGAAGATAAGGAGTCTGCAATAGGCCGGTTGGCCTGTGCATGGCAGCTCCTGTCGAGAGTTACTACCACTCTCTCTCATCCATGAATCTATCTAGCCTCCTTTTGAAACTTTCCAAAGTTCCCGCACTTACTACAAAGTTGCTAAGCTTGTTCCACTCGTCCACCACCCTATTTGTGAACCAGTTTCTTCCTATCTCCCTCCTAAACCTAAACTTATCCAACTTGAATCCGTTGCTCCGAGTCCTATCCTGCTCGGATATTATAAGAACTTTATCTATATCCCCTTTATTGATTCCTTTCACCCACTTAAATACTTCTATCATATCTCCCCGCACTCTTCGTCTTTCTAGGGAATGCAAGTTAAGTTTCTTTAGCCTATCCTGATATGGAAGGTTTCTAAGTCCCGGAATCATTTTTGTCATTCTTCGCTGCACCGACTCTAGTGAATTTATATCCATTCTATAATAGGGGCACCAGAACTGAACCGCATAATCGAGGTGTGGCCTGACGAGCGCAAGATATAGTTGCAATAAGACCTCTGCACTCTTGTTACTTACACTTCTAGATATAAAACCCAATACTCTGTTTGCCTTATTTCGAACATGAACGCACTGTTTTCTAGGCCGTAGGTCCGGGCTTACAAGTACCCCTAGGTCTCTTTCTGAAGTCGACTTCTCTGGGTTGATGTTGTTAAAGGCTCGCCATACATTATAAGTATTTGTTCTTCAATAGTAAATTACGCTGCACTTGCTGGTGTTGAATTTCATTGCCATTTTTCAGACCACCCCTGCAGTTTATTTAGATCCTCCTGTAATGCATTTGCATCCTGCCCTGAATTAATTTGCCGCCCTATTTTGGTGTCATCAGCAAACTTGCTTATGTCACTGCTGAGCCCAGTATCTAGATCGTTTATGTAGATTATGAACAAGAGTGGGCCTAGTACTGACCCCTGGGGAACCCCACTGGTTACATGGCCCCACTCAGATTTAACACCATCTACGCTGACCCTCTGCGTTCTATCGGTGAGCCATGATTTTATCCAATTTAAAACTTTCTCCTCGATACCATGAGCCTTAATTTTTCTCAGAAGCCTCTGATGCGGTACTCTGTCAAATGCTTTGCTAAAGTTTAAGTAAATAACATCGTAATTTTCGTCATTATCTACTACCTCGAAGACTTTCCTAAAAAACGTTAGCAGATTTGTTAGACAAGATTTTCCCTTTGTAAACCCATGTTGAGAGTCGTAGATTAATTTGCTTTTCTCTAGATGCGATCGGATGCTATCTGCTATAATTGATTCAGGAAATTTCCCCACTACAGACGTCAAACTGATCGGCCGGTAATTTGACGCTGGGTGGTCAGTTCCTCCCCCTTTCCTCACTCAATCGTGGCTAATTGTGATAGGGAGATGAATTTGATACCATAATGATCCCTAATAAATTCTCTAGAGATGTTTACAATAAGACATCCTTTATCAAATATTTTGATATGTTGATACCGGAGTCAGTAAATCAGTTTTAATTTCAAAAGACACACCTTTTTTTTATCAAAATAATGCCGAATACTTTATCCAGCAGTTTGGTTAAATAAATATATTAAAAACAAAAGCTCTATATGATACGTGCATGAATAGAGCTGTGTTACAATTTGTAGGAGCTGTAGTTATTTACTCAAACACCACTGTACAATATTGTTCATATTGTAAACATAACTTTTACTTTTATCCTCTTCACCACTGATCGGCTCTTTAGCTGCTTGGGCGATCAGTCACGTCTCTGTTACGCACTGTTGGCAAGTACTGGGCATGCACCGTCTCCTGAATGTACCTGAACCTGCTCTAGTGTTGGTCAAGTCTGGTCTTGAAAGAGCTCACACTCAGTGCCGTCACAACACTTTCTGGTAGATTGTTCCAAGAGTTCACAATTCTCACTCCGAAAAAGTTTGCCCTCACAGTTTTATGGACCTGTGGCTTCTTCAATTTTGAGCTGTGACCCCTTGTGGGGCGAGTGTCCTCCAGCTCCAAGTAAGGACACCCGACTGAGTAATGCCCCTTGAGATGCTTATACACCTCAGTTAGTCGCCACTTGCCCGTCTGTAGTATAAGCAGTGGCGTTTCTAGCTTTGGAAAGTGGGGGGGGGCCACTTTGGGGCCAAGGAAAATGATGAGGGGGGCAAAACCAAACCTGTGTACAACTTGCAAGATGCAGTTTTTGGCATTATTACACCAATTTGATTGACAAATGTGAAGTGACGTCTCTCATGACGCCAGCCTAAAATAATCAGCATATGGCATATAATGGCAACGCTCTTATTCCACGAATCATGATTCATTGGGGTATTGACACACTTGAACATATCTCTAAAACTGTATTATTGCTCACATAGTCACATAAAGGGCGGGTGTACCACATAACAAACATTGAAAAATATAGCAGTGTCTTTACAACGTATGCACAGTCACGTTCAAGATTCTTCGAACACTGCTGGAGACAGCAGGCAACTCGAGGCCGTTTGTTTACTATACTACGTAGTAAAAATTATGAATGAATGTAAAAGTGATCGGTGATTGGTTACTCAGTTCCCCGTTGCTTAATTAATGGTTAGACTTTGTTGTTTCGCATTATATTATGCCTTTCTGCTAGTATACACTGTTAATTTGATTTTAAAATGGATAGAGCAATGAGCCAACCTTTATGAATTTATGTTTAGATAAATAAACATAAGTAAAAATCGGTATGTTAAAGAACATCATGCATCGGGCACAGCTGTGTGCAGGCTGTTTATGAGGTTGCCTGTTTATCATTAATTTATACTAATATTGTCTTCAAACGTTTAATCTAACCGATGCTAAACAAAACTTCTTTCTTAAGACGCTGATTTCCTGCAACACAAACTGCTGTTTTACTTCCCTGTGTGTGCGTGTGCGCATGTGGAGTGTGTGTGTGTGTGTGTGTCAGTCAGTCTGTGTCTGTATTTAATAGTGACGTTGTTCAATTGAAGGTTATGATAATTAATCTTACGAACCATCCGTCCGATGGTGTGAATTAGTACTGTAGCATATACCTAATACTTTTACAAGCCATTATCTAGCAATATCATTGTCATTCCAAGACTATGAATATTATAAACAGCAAATGGCATTTCTTTCGTTGAGTGACTCTTTGGTCCCCCCCTCCCTAAATTCTTGTTTCTGACTTGTGTCGATTACGTCACGTTTAGTCTGGTGTCATTAAAAAAAATATTCAATTGTTTCCAAAAATGTGCATGGTGTATTATAAATTTGTATCTTATTTATTTATTTATTTATTTATTTCGTTTATTTTTTATAAAATGCATAATAAATATAAATATAACGCTGACGTTATTGGCGGGAAGGTGGGGGAGACAGAGGTGTTGTCAGTGCTGACTACCCTTCCACTCCCTCAATTGTAGAAGGACCCTGCCAACACGGAATACCACACGCAGAAAATCACTGAACGTGGAAGAATAATCGACATGAAAGAGGCTGGGTTTTCACCCACTGAAATTGCACGAGAATTGGGTTTTTCTTGGACAACTGTATATTATTGGATTAAGCGATGGGAAGAGGAGGGAAGTTTAAAGGACCACCACAGGACGGGAATGCCGCGCAGAACAACACTTGCACAAGTTGAAGCCATCCGGAATTTCGCTGAGGCCAACCCCTTGAAGACTTCATTTTCAATAAGAGAGGATCTACAATTAATTATTTCCCCTTTAACAATCAGGCGAAGACTTCACGAAGGAGGCATTCACCATAGAACTCCCGCCACCAAGGAGAAGTTAAATGTGCGACATCGCGAGGGCAGGTTGCAGTTTGCTCGACGGTATGCTGAAGAAGGCTTAGATGTCTGTGGAAGAATAATATTCACTGACGAAAAAACTTTCTCATCTACCTCTCACGGAAGGTTGCACTGCTGGAGGAGGAACAACACCCGATATGCTAGACAGCATATTTATGAGGAAGCAGCGAGTGGCCATGTGACTTGCAATGTTTGGGGATGGATATATTTGCACGGAGTTGGAGAGCTGACTGACATAGAAGGAAGATTCACAGCTGAACAGTATTTAGAAATACTCGAAGAAGTTATGCTTCCCTCGGTGCGTGCATATGCTTTCCCGTTTCCCGAAAACATCATTTTCATGCACGATAGGTGTCCTATCTATACCACACGGATTGTAACGCGGTGGTTTGCAGAACAAAGAAATGTGCAAGTTTTAGACTGGCCAAGTAAAGGTTGCGACATGAACCCTATAGAGAACGTTTGGGGCAATATTGTGAACGTATGGGAGCCAGCTGAAGAGAGAACCAGGGTGCAGCTACAGCAGCATACACACCGTGAGTGGGAGGTCCTGAGGCGGACACCGCAGCTGATACACAATCACGTCGCCTCCGTTCCCAACAGGCTGCGGCAAGTAATCGAGAATGAAGGTGGCTGGACTAAATATTAATGTCAGAAATAATTTTCCTATGTAATCAAAGTCACATACTGAATGCATCTGAATATCTGTCAAATTGTATAATAAATGTAAAGAAAACAATCTTCTTCTAATATCCCCACTTGTGCAGTATGTATTCAGGATGATTTAAGTCAAACAAATCCTAGCATTATACTTATAATTATTATGAAAGAGTACAGTATCATATATGATAAATATATTGCATGTGAAATAATTACAATATCTACCACGTTAGTTTTTAGTTTAACAAATTTATT